AAAACTACAGTCCATTATCCCTGATAAACATAGATGCAAAAGTCCTCAACAAAAATACTAGCAAACTGAATCTTAACAGCACATCAGAAAGATAATACACCATGCTCATGTGAGATTTTTCCGAGGGATGCAAGGATGGTTCAACATACACATATCCATAAATGTGATACATCACTCCAACAGAATAAAGGACAAAAACCATGTGATCATCTCAACAGCTGCATAAAAAGCATTTAATAAAATTCAACATCCCTTTATAGTAAAAACTCTCAACAAACTAGGCATAGAAGGAACATACCTCAATATGATAAAGTCTATATATGAAAAACCCACAGCTAACATCACACTGAATGGGGAAAAGCTGAAATCCTTTCCTTTGATAACTGGAACAAGACAAAGATGCCCACTTTCATCACACCTATTTGTAGTACTGGAGGTCCTAGCCACAGCAGTCAGGCAAAAGAAAGGAATAAAAGGCATCTAAATTGGAAAAGAGGAAGTCAGATTGTTCTCTTTGCAGATGACATGATCTTATATCTAGACCAACCTAGACTCCACCAAAAAACTCCTATATCTGATAAATAAGTCAGTAAGGTTGCAGGATACAAAAGCAACATACAAAAATCAGTAGCATTTCTATACACCAATAATGAACTAGCTGAGAAAGAAATCAAGAAGTTGATTCCATTTACAATAGCTATAAAAGAAAAACATATCTAGGAATTAATTTAACCAAGGAGGTGAAAGATCTCTACAAAGAAAAATACAAAACATTGATGAAAGAAACTAAAGAAGACACAAATAAATGGAAAGACATCCCATGCTCATGAATCAGAAGAATTAACAGTATTAAAGTAACCATACTCCCCAAATGAATCTAATGACTCAGTGCAATCTCTATCAAAATACCAGTATCATTTTTTACAGAAATAGCAAAACAAAAACAAAAACAAATACAAAACCTAAAATTCTTGTGGAACCCAAAAAGAGCCCAAATAGCCAAAGCAATCCATAGCAAAAATAACAAAACTGGAGGCATCACACTACCTGTCTTTGAAATATATGACAAGTCTATAATAACCAAAACAGCATGGTATTGTCATTAACAAAAGACACATAGACCAACAGAACAGAATAGACCCAGAAATATATCCACATATTTACAACCAACTGATTTTTGATAAAGATGCCAGGACACCCTCTTCAATAATTGGTGCTAGGAAAATTTTGGATATCCATATGCAGAAGATTGAAACTAGACTCTTAACTCTGACCATTTAAAAAAATTAAGATGGATTAAGACTTAAATGTAACACTTGAAACTATAAAACTACTAAAATAAAACACAGGGAACACTTCAGGACATTAGTGTAGGCAAAGATTTTATGCCTAAGATCTCAAAAGCACAGGCAACAAAACCAAAAATAGACAAATGGGACTATATCGAACTAAAAAACTGTACAGCAAAGGAAACAGTCAACAGAGTGAAGAGACAGCCTGTTGAATGGGAGAAAATATTTGCAAACTATTCATCTGGTAAGGGATTAATATCTAAAATATACAAAGAACTCAGCTCAACAGTTTTAAAAAATCCCATTTAAAAAGTGGGTAAGGGACATGAATAAACATTTATCAAAAGCAGACATACAAATGGTCAGTGTGTCTATGGAAAAATGCCCAGTATCACTAATCATCAAGGAAATGCTAATCAAAACCACAATGAGATAACATTTTATCCCAGTCAGAATCGCTAGAATTAAAAAGGCCCAAAAAAATGCTGGCAATCATGTGGAGAACAGGGAACTCTGATACATTGTTGGTGATGATGTAAATTAGTACAGCCACAATGGAAAACAGTATAATTTTTCAAAAAACTAAAAATAGAACCACCCTATGAGCCAGCAATCCCATTATTGGATGTTTATCCATAGGAAAGGAGTCAGTGCATCAGAGGATACCCAGATCCCATGCTTACTGCAGCACCATTCACAGTAGCCAAGATATGGAATCAGCCCAAGCATCCATCAGTGGACCAGTGGATAAAATGTGGTATATATACACAGTGGAATACTATTCAGCCACAAGAAAGAATGAAATCCTGTCATTTGCAGCAACATGGAGGGAACTGGAGGGTATTACATCAGTGCCCTCAGAAAAACAAATATCACCAATTCTCACTCATAAGTAGTAGCTTAAAAGGCCAATCTCATGGAGATAAGAGAGTAGAATGAAAGATACTAGAGGCTGGGAGGGGTGTGTCGGTGGAGCAGGGTGGTGGGGAAGAAACAGAGGTTAGTCGATGGGTATAAACATTCAGTTAAATAGAAGGAGTAAGTTCCAATGCTCAATATCTCAGTAGGGTGACTACAGCTATGTGTACAATTATTATGTATCAATAAAAAAGAAAATAAAGCAAGCTTTGGACTCTTGGGTGCTGGAGAAACGGCCTGTTTCTCTCTGACTGATGGTGCTGTCATTAGTTCCACACCCAGCAGGCCTTCTTTCCCAAAGCCCTAAGGAAATGAGAATTTGTTGGGGGAGGTTGGCAGTAAAGAGGAAATAGAATCTAAATTTTAAGCTGAGACATCACCAGCTGGTTCCAGCAGAGCTAGAGGACAGCATCTTTGGGCAGGAATCCAGGAAGCAGAAACACTGAGAATATAAAAGGAGCAAAAAGCTTTCTTTCCTTCTCCATCGATTGAAAAAAAAGAACAAGTCAGTTCAAAAATCCGTCAGAATGTCTTTCTGGAGGCTCACAATTGTGGGAGGATGAGATGGTCTTGACAGCCATTCTATTTTACCGTCTTCCACACTGGAAAAGTGAAATTTGTCAGAGCGTTTGAGCTTATCTGTGAAAAGTCTTTTCAAAGTTTCACCCAGGTGATTGGGATTTTTTTTTTTTTTTTTTTGAGGCTGTTACCATTTTTAAAAAATTACTACTTGTGTTAGAAGGCTTTGTCCAAGTACCAACTGAGTTCTCGGTATGGAATTCACCCTAAAAATCTAATGTTTGTGCAAATGAGGCTGGCAGTAGCCAGAACAGGGACTTTGCAGGGGTGAGGCTTCTCCGTAGGAATCCTGGATACTCTTTCAGGCCAACTGACACCCTTGACTTCATGCTCTCCTATTTTAAGCTGAAAGACTTGCATTTTTTATTACTAAGAAGACCTGCGTGTGGCGCCATCCAGCACGTTCACTAGGGAAGTTGTATGGTGCAGAGCTTTCAGCAGGAACCAGTGTTCCCTGCCTGGCATGGAGGGTGTACTCAACTGATACATGCAGAAACAGACAGAGTTCTCATCTCTTCTCCATTCTTCTTTTCCTCCCTTGTCCCCAGTTCTGCCTTCGAACTGCCCTTTCCTCCTGCGCTTTTCTCCTCCCTGGCTTTGTCGCTTATGTTTCTCCTGAACGGGTATCTGGAGGGGTAAGCATGGGGGCATTGTCCGAGAGGAGGTGGGGCTCTGAACGGCAGGTGGGGAAGCAGAGCCAACCTGGGCAGCTGTGTTTGTGTTTGCTGCCCAGAGCAGTGGACAGAGGGGCACTTTCAGGCACCACACAGGTACCTGGCTTAGGGAATGGGAGTGCACCATCTCTCTTCCCCTCATCCCTTCCCTCCACTTGATCGTAAGACGCCAGCACCTGCAAAAGCATTTCCTTTCCACCTGCTCCTCATGCCCTGCACAGCAGCTATGGCTATAGAGGAACCATGGCAGGCTAGGGGCACATGGCAGGGCTTGGGAGTAACGGCATCTGGGAGAACATTACCGTCACGACATCCACCTATCTCCTCCAGATGGGCAGGCATCCTCTCCTCCCTCCCCATCACCACACAGTGTGGGCTGGCCCTGATGGGACCGATGGGACCTGCTGTGGGAGCAGTAAAACACTCTAAACCTAGGTGAGCTGGTGCAAGAGATGTGGGTCAGAACCGCCGAATCCACCTGCTGTCCGGCCAGCAGCAACTTGCTCTGGGCCCTGCTGTCCCTGAGTTGCAGGCAGGGGTCCATCTGCATATGGGGCAGAGTTCTGTGCCTGTGGCCACACATCCTCAAGCAGTTTGCTTTGCTGAGCTTCACGTGCATCTTGGATTTTTAACTCACGTTTTAGACTATCGGGTCTTTTCTATGGGGTGACATCCTCTGATCCTAGGAATGACTTTATGTTCTGATGAGAAGTTCATCATCATGACAGCGACTGATGACCATGAAGCATTTTCACGGTGCCCGGGACATCCTCGTGTTTTCATGTTTTATTACATTTTCTTCTCACAATGGTCTCGCCGAGTTATTTTTACTTTCCCCATTTCACAGATGAACAGACTAAGGTGTTGAGAGTGTAATTGCATAGCCAGCAAAGCAGCTCAACCAGGTCTGACACCCAGCTTGGACTCCAGCCTTCAAGCATAACTCTGCGGCTCTGCCTGCGCGTGTTAGCAAGGGGGGCGCAGGGCACAGAAGCTCCTGGGAAAGGAATTTGTTTTTGCTGGGACTTTATCAGGCCACTGCCTTGCCCCTCTGGAATCCTTCAGGACCCTGAGTGGGGTTTGGAACCTGGAGTTCTGGACCAGGTTGGCAGGTGAGCCTGCCCCTGGGCCCAGGGTCTTGTTCTGACTTGCAGAAGGTTCCAGATGGCCCCCACACAAGCCAGACACGGGGCTGCATGCACCATGGAGGAACTCAGAGGAGGCCGTTGCTCTTGAGGACCCAGCCAGCCTGGTTGTTCTAATCAGATGAGATCAAGGAGAAAGAGAATGATTTGTATATAAATCTCCTGCCGCCAGTAGCTTCAGTGCCCTGTGTGGCTGGGATGAAGCTGGAGAAAATAATGTATGCGATGATAGCCAGGATGCCTTGAACACCCTCCTTCCTTCTGCATTCCACTGAAGTCTCCTGCAGGGTTTTGCAGCCCTTTCCTTCCATAGTTAGAACCTTCCCCACACATCTGATCAAAAGAAAATTTGGGCTATTGTGTTAACAGATGACTTTGCTTTTAATTGGTAGAACCAGGAGCTGTGGGACATCTGAGTTTCACGGAGATTCTGGACACATCTCTCAAGGTCAGCTGGCAGGAGCCCCTGGAGAAAAATGGCATCATTACAGGTAAGTAGCCCTGTCTTCCAAGAAAGAAAAAGATAAGTTTGTCCTCGCAAAAAGAAGTGGATATGACTTCAAACCAAACTGCTGACAGCATGGACCCGTGCCCATGGCCTTCTCGAGAGGAACTGAAATGTCTTCCTGGCCGTGTGGCAGAGTCCTGGCACTGGGACTGCTCCAGTGAGAGCCAGCCTGGTCTGGGGGCCTTTCACCGTGTGGGCAGCAGCTGTAGTTTGAGATCTATTCTCACGTCCAGAGTCTCTGACCAATGAGTCAGTCATGTTATGACATATTTGTTCACATGGTATGTGTCTCACTTAATTCTCATAGCAGCGTGGTAAGGTCGATATCGATATTATGACCATTTTACAGATGAGGAAACTGAGGCCCCGAGAGGGTGGGTGACCTTTCCTTCATTCAGCAGACGGCACTGAGTGCTCCTGTGTGCAGCCAGCCCTCTCAGACACAGCCAGGCGGCATGACTATGAGGCTCACATGCCCTGTGTCTCAGCCCTTGTCCCACAGCTGTGAGCCGCAAGGCCAGGATGAGATCTGGATCTTCTGACTCCAGATCCCATGTTCTGTCCCTTCCCCACCCTGCCCTCCAGTGAGAGCCCTGAGGAGACTGTGAGGCAGGTACTTCGGAGGAGGTTCTGAGCTGTGGGAGGGGCGGGGGCTGAGCCTTAGAGGCGCCTGAGCAGTGAAATCTCTTCTCCTGGTTTGAGGGGTCTCTGTGGGAGACAGCTCACCTTTTTAGGGTTTTTAATGATTGTAGGTATGTATGTATGTATGTACTGAGGCAGAGTCTCGCTCTGTCGCCCAGACTGGAGTGCAGTGGCACGATCTCCGCTCACTGCAACCTCCGCCTCCTGGATTCAAGCAGTTTTCCTGCCTCAGCCTCCCAAGTAGCTTGGATTACAGGTGTGCGCCATCATACCTGGCTAATTTTTGTATTTTTAGTAGAGATGGGGATTTCACCATGTCGGCCAAGCTGGTCTTGAACTCCAGACCTCAAGTGATCCACCTGCCTCAGCCTCCCAAAGTGCTGGGATTACAGGCCTGAAAAACCTTTTAGGTTAAAGCTTAATTCAAATCTTAGTTCAAAAAAAAATTCTTGGTTTGACAAAAACAGCATAGGCTTTAGCCTCAAATGAGGTTGGGCAGGGCCCCCCATTCCACTATTTTAGTCAACATAAGAGCCTCAGCAGACCTCTGGGGTCCTCAGTTCCAACTGGAGCTGTCAGGAGAATGAATTGAGAGAAGCTGTGTCAGCTGCCCACTGCCTGGCCCAGAGCAGCTCAACCTCCAACAGGCATCTTTTTTTCTTTTTCTTCTTTTTCTAAATATTACTGAAGATTTCTAGCAAGCCACTTAATCTTCTTCTTGGTCAGTCATATATGGGACTCTTCTACGTGAGCCCCCTCTGGGGGCTTTGCCTGTGGCATCTCACGTCCCGGCAGGGGCTCCTGCGTGGGTATTTTGCAGCCGCGCCCCGAGGTTGAGTGAGTTGCCCATCCTGACGCGAGCGGTCAGTTGGGAGCTGAGCTGCATCTCCACTCCATGGTGGCAGCGTTCTCAGCTGGCCGCGGGAGCTGTGGAATTCAAGTGCCTGATTGTTCTGTGAAGCAAGCTCACGTTCTCTGGGTGGGTCCTAGAAGCCTGTGCTGGGACTGTGCTGCCCAGAGACCAAGAGCCTCAGGTGGTCTGTCCCTGCTGCCGGGCCACAGCGTTGGGAGCTGTTTCTTCTCTGCTCTGGCGTCCGGGATGACAATGGCAATGATGACCCTGACCACTTCCCCTGTGCTTGGCACCTTAACCTTGCAGGATCGCATTTTGCTTTCTCTGCAGCCACACAAGGGGTGTCTTATAACCCAGGCCTGGCGATGACAAGGCGGAGGTTTAGGGTGGCGACGTCCCACGATCACAGCCCGTGGGTATGTGCGCATTCTCTCCTCTGCAGCGTTGATGTGCCAGGGGTGAGGTTTGAACCGTGCTCCGAACCCCACCGCAGAGGACGTTCATCTTCCCCATCCACAGTCCTCTTAGCGTCTCCGTAGTTTCTCAAAGCACCCTGAGGGCACAGAAATGCCTAACGGTTCTGTTTATTAAGTAGTTAGATCCAAACAACTAAAGTGTTTATATGCTGACAACTAGAATTGCCATTTAAAAAATACTACACAGTAGTTGAAAGAAATAAAACTTGCATTTGTTTTTTCAGTGACCACAGTTAGTTCCTAATGAGATGTCTGCATCCGCCTCGCACTGCCCAGCCTCTCAGACCTTGGGACCAGATGGCCCCTCGTCACCCTCATTTCCCGGTTCACGTTGGTTTCCCGACCCTACTCGTTTCCTTATCGCAACATCCACCAAAAATTCTGCTTTGCAAATATAGGATGTATCCAAGGGCACGTGGCAGGCTCTGGCCTTGAAACGGAGCCCCCCTCCAGCCAGAGGCTCACATGTGTCCCACTGGCATTGAATGTCCTGTGCCTCCCTGCAGTGCTCCTGGGAGGTCACTGCAGCATCCCAGGGTCCCTGGGGCACAGTGGGAGACTGTCTTCCTACAGTGACCTGTTTCTACGCAGAACTCCTGTACATAGCAAACCCAGTGCCAACCTCACCACTTCTAATCAGTAGAATCTCCTGTAATCATCTGTGCCAACCAGATCCCCTGATAGAGCGGTATGCCCAGAGCCCATACACAAGGTCACCTTGGAGCCAGTGCCACCTCTCATCTTAACTTTTTTTTGTTGTTGAGATGGAGTCTCGCTCTGCAGCCCAGGTTGGAGTACAGCGGCGCTATCTCGGCTCACTACGACCTCTGCCTCCTGGGTTCAAGCAATCATCCTGCCTCCACCTCCCGAGTAGTTGGAACTACAGGCGTGTGCCACCACGCCTGGCTAATTTTTTTGTGTTTTTAGTAGAGGCGGGGTTTCACCACATTAGCCAGGATGGTCTTGATCTCCTGACCTCGTGATCCACCCACTTTGGCCTCCCAAAGTGTGGTGTGCCTTTTATAAGCATATAGCAGGACTTTGTGGGGTTTTTTATTTTTATTTTTTGTTTATTTGTTTTTTGAAATGCAATCTCTCTCTGTTGCCCAGGCTGGGGTGTAGTGGTGTGATCTTGGCTCACTGCAACATCCGCCTCCCAGTTCAAATGATTCTCCTGCCTTAGCCTCCCAAGTAGCTGGGATTACAGGCGTGCACCTGCACACCTGGCTAATTTTTGTGTTTTTAGTAGAGACAGGGTTTCACCATGTTGGCCAGGCTGGTCTCGAACTCCTGACCTCAGATGATCCACCTGCCTCGGCCTCTCAAAGTGCTGGGATTACAGACGTGAGCCACCACGCCCGGCCTCACCTTAACTTTTAAAGAAAGTAAATTTATGAATCTGGCTCTGCCTTCCAGAAGCTTATCTTTTGAAATGGCCACTTCAGACAGTGTGAAAACTCCAGGAATGTGGGAAAGTCACTGCTAGAATTGGACACGATCTGTTGTACATTCTGAAGTCGTCTAAGAATGGCAAGTGCTGAGTATGTACAATTAAAACAGCCTCCTGTTGCCTGGAGTCGAAGGAATTAAGTGAAGGCAGGGGGAACTGAGCAGGGGAGGCCACGATAGACTGCAGGAACCTAGTTTAGTTTAATCTTGCTTTAAACATTCAAAGGAAGGAAAAACAAACTAGTGGGTGATTTTTAAAAGCTGAGCAGGAGGCTACCATTCGGAAGAAGAACACTTTCCAGTTCAGATCCCTCAGGGACCAATTCGGCGGCTGGAATTAGAGCTCTGCTTACCACTGACCCCAGAAACGGGGCTGTCTGGGTAGGAAAGAAAGAATGCCCCTCTGCCCAGTTGCCTTTCAAGTCCGCAGTCGGCCATGTTTTGGAAATCTGGCAGAGACTCCGTGGTAGACAGTGTCCACACTGAAGAAATTCCTTTTACAGATACACACGTCAGCCCCTGCCCTGCCCTTTGTGAACACAGCATACTCTCCATTCCTGTTCTAAAGCCAAAAGAAAAAAATCCATGGGCATAATAATTCGCGTTGAGCCAACATTTCACGGCTAAGCGGTGGTTGCCAATACTTCCAATTTACGATCGTCTGTTTCGCCAGCTAATGGGGCTTCGTGAACTCATTTTCGTATTTTATTTAAACAAATACCTGTAGTTACAAGCAGCAGTCTATGGTTTATGGTGGAGCTTGACTTGGAAGCTCGAGCTTTCCCGGGCTGGGTAGAGCCGGAGGCCTGAGTTTGGAGGTGCCTGTGCCATGGGGGACAGCAAAGTTGCAGTGGAAGCGCCAGGCAGACTCTCTGTAGGTTCCTCTCGGCGGCCGCATTGTCCCCTTCTCTCTGTGTGTGGCCTGTGCATTTTCCATTCCTGCTCACACCGTAATGTGTACCTTGTATCACCAGAAGCTTCAGTGGACGCATGCAGCTCTTTAGAGAAGGTCCTAGAGGAGGTGAGATCGGATGTTATCACCTCACCACCCAACATCACCTGGTACCCACAGTGATGCCTGCATCAGGGGAGCTCCCCCTGGCACCCATCAAGTAGACATAGATTCCCCGTGGAGCGTGCAGGCAGCACCATTAAATTCTATTCTGTGCTAAAGGCAGAGTGTTTCATTGAGGACAGCAAAAGAAAAACTGCGTTCATGGGCAAACCTGGCTGCCATAAACCAGTTTCCAGAAGCGTTGGTGTGGCACCTCCATGCTCTCCAAGGCTTCCTGCAAAGACTGCACCTGCTATTAAAGGCAGCTGCGGGAGCCCAGGATGACTGACGGCCTGGGCCTGGGCTCAGCACTGCTCTACGGGCCAGAGACGCTGTTGGAAACGGTGGTTTATTAGCCCTGGTCTGTGGTGAGCACCCCCAGCCTCTGTTTTAATTCGAGGCCTGGAATGAGAGGGAAGCATGGAGCAGGGGGCGGCTGTGCCTGCCCGAGTAAATTGCCCATTGCGCACTTATTGTAAATTTCAGCGTCCTCCACTCTCCCTCCGTAAACTCTGATTTATGAGGGCCAGGATGCAGACAGACAGTTTGTGATTGGATGCACTGTTCTCTTCTAGAGAATTTACTTCAGATCAACAGAAAATTATTTCTGAAGCTCCTCTGGCCATTAGTCTCAGTTAGGCAGCCACTGGGAGCAGGTAGGATGCCAAGCGCGAGGTACCCCCGCTCCTGGCTCCAGGTGCCTCTCTCCTCTCTCCTCTGGGAGCTGGAAGCAGAGGATGCATCCCCTGGCCAGCACTGCCTGAGCCCTCCACGCACCTCCCCCAAAAGCTGTTGTTCGTAAATTAGAGGACATCTTTCCCACCTCACGCCCACCGCTCTGTCTGTGCTCACGGACATCACACGTCTTGGGCCTGCACCGTCTCCACTTACGTTACTCTGCAGATCAGCCTCTCTAGCTGTCCGTTTGGTTTTTGTTTGTATCCATAACCATTTGAGCACACCGTATTATCGATGTTGATCCTAATAAATCCCAGCAATGCTGCCCTTCCTGAAGATGCTGGAATTGCCGTGTTTCAGCTCTAGGTCGACAAGACGAACATGAGGCTGTGTTTTAGCTGATGAAGAACAGCTTTTAAACAAATAAAAATTTCTGACAGCAAGGTTGTAACATTAAACAAAGGCTCCTCTTCCCATAGGTTCAGAGTAGACCCCGAGGATCAAATTATTTCGTGATTGACCAGGCGTGACCCACCAAGGTCAGGGATGTCTTTTGGTTCCCTCACACACGTCGGGGAGGAGGTGCTAGAGGAGGAGGCTCTTGAGAGGCAGGGACTCATCCACTGTGAGAAACAGACTCACCCGTCCAAACCCAAAGGATGGACTCAGAGACCCGGAGAACAGCGAAAGTGGGACTTTTAATGACGGTCTTACAAGATTGAGTGTCTGATGGCCAGGCACACCCAGCACGGTCACAACAAGCCACTTATTCCCTACTGTGCAGGTCCCTCCCCTGGTTCCTCACAGGCTGAGTACTGTGGGGGTCACAGTCTTCCCAGGCGTCACCCATTGGTTGTTGGGCAGGGACTGTAAGTGTTTTCTTTAGGGTGGTCTTGTTGCATTTTGTTGCAGCCCACAATGCACTGCAATCCTAGTCAGCTCACAGTGCACAATCCTAGTGCATTGTGAGCATCCTAGTGCATTGTGCAGCCCACAATGCACAATCCTAGTCAGCTCAGGGGCTCTTCAGGTATTTGACTTATGACGTAAGTAGCTGGGCAAGCTGATAAGAATAGACGAAATGAGCTATCCTACAGGATAGTAAACGTTCATCTTAGACTAAACTTCTTTGGTTCGGGTGGGGACAACTGAGGGGTGGGGGGAGGCTGACAAGCAGGCACTGGCGATTGAAGCAGGGGCCTGGTATATCCTGTTTCTTCTGTAGTTTGCTGACCTAAGCTGATTCAAGTCACTTTGTCTTGGAAATGGACCATGTATCCATTATTTCCTTCATCCACTGAGGACTGTCTGGGGTTCCAGCAAGTCCATGAAGCTTTCTGTGGCTTGGTTTCTTCCTCTGTGAAATAGGGTAACAACAGTCCCAATTTCAAAGGTGTGTTGTGAGGGTTACATGAATGAATGGGGCAGGCTAGATGTCTTAGACATCAGGGTGGGCAGATGAGGGAAATGCTAAGATGTAAAGCGAGGGCAGGGCCTGGGCTGGGCGTGGTGGCTGATGACTGTAATCCCAGCATTTTGGGAGGCCGCGGTGGGAAGATCGCTTGATGCCAGGAGTTTGAGACAGCCTGGGCAACATAGTGAGACCCTCATCTCTACAAAAAATTTTAAACACTGACCAGGCGTGGTGGCACATGCCTGTAGTACCAGCTACTTGAGAGACTGAGGTGGGAGGATCACTTGAGTCGAGTGGTTCAAGGCTGCAGTGAGCCGTGATCAACCCACTGCACTCCAGGCTGGGCAACAGAGCAAGACTCTCTCTCTCTCATATGTGTGTGTGTGTGTGTGTGTATACGTGTATATATATACACACACATATATATATATTAATAATTTTTTTAGTGGAATTATTGGCGAAATGCATTCATAATTTGACAAGAGAAGGTTGAATTGAATTGAGCACAGCAGGCTGACAGCTGTCGTCATTTTTCAGTTCATGCACCTGGTGCTGAGGTTACCAGAGCATCCGATAGGCCCTGTCCTTGTGAAGCGCACCCTGGTAGGGAGGGATAATATGTATTTTATTATTTATTCATTTATTTATTTATTTTAAATAAAGTTAGGAAGGAAATGGGAGAAGGCAATGGTGAGTGGTTGGCCTGGGTAGTCAGCCTTCTCCCCTCTCCCTGGGAGGAGGAAAAGGAGACCAGGACCTGAGAAGCAGCCAGATGCCTTTGATGTAGCCACCACAGAGGATGGTTTAGTGACCCTCCAGGGCCCAGGCAGAGACCCCAAAGGCAGAGACGCCGGGCCGCCGCACCACTCAGTGACAGCTCCCGGGATGGCAGGCGCTCAGAGTGCTCTGGAGGCACCCAGCAGCCAGGCCGTCCCTCTGGTGGCCCTTGTTCCTTGGAGCTCCCACTGTGTCAGCCCACATGGGGTTCCCCGATGCCCATGCACAGAAGCTGCCGGGCTGTTGGGGCCTGTGGGACAGCCAGAGGGAGCAGGTTCCAACATTAAATTTTTTTCAAAATAGTAAAGTCTCAAGATGCTGTCCTCTAAATTCTTGTTTACCTGCAAGTGCAACTCGTAGCTTTATTTATTGCTTTCATCAGAATGAGGAAGAAGTTTCAGCTGCATTTAAGCGCTTCTATATCCCTGAGGTTATTGACTAAAAATAGGGAAGAGCAAGTGTTTTCAGCTGTTTTCTTTTGCGTGTGGACCTATGAGCTTTTTCTACCACTGTCTCCCTCTTTAAAAGACACTTTTAAGTGTTCTCTGGTCACATAAACTCCCCTCCACGGGGATTGATTGATTCAGGAACCAGTTGGGTCTTTTTTCTCCCTTTTTTTTTTTTTTTTAAGACAAAGTCTCGCTCTGTGGCCCAGGCTGGAGTGCAGTGGCACAATCTCGGCTCACTGCAACCTCCACCTCCAGGGTTCCAGCGATTCCCATGCCTCAGCCTCCTGAGTAGCTGGGATTACAGGCGCCCGCCACCATGCACGGCTAATTTTTGTATTTTAATAGAGACAGGGTTTCACATGTTGGCCAGGCTGGTCTCCAACTGCTGACCTCAGGTGATCCACCCACCTTGGCCTCCCAAAGTGCTGGGATTACAGGCATGAGCCACCACGCCCCACGGGTTTTTTTTCTCTAAGCCCCAAGTCACAGTGGAATCCCGGGTGGAATAAATTTTGATTGTGAGGCCCCACTGGACTGAAGAGAGTATAGGGGGAAATCAAATGTATTAGAAAACAGGATATTTGAAAAGGGGAGAGGCAGAGCTAGAAGCAAAACACACACTCAGGCGAAAAGAAACTTTTCCACGCAAAGCGCTTTGCAAAATGGAAGAGTGATCTAGCAGTCATTTTGTAAAGGAAAAAGTAGAAGTGTTTCCATGAGTTCGTTGCAACACAAGAGCAAGCCATTGATTTAAGGTTCTGTGTAATAAAAATACCAGCTTCCAAAAATGAAACAATTGGCTGGGTACCATGGCTGTAATCCCAACACTGAGGGAGGCCGAGGCGGGAGGGTCTCTTGAGCCTAGGAGTTCCAGACCAGCCTGGGCAACAGGGGGAAACCCCATCTCTACAAAAAGTACAAAAGATTAGCCAGGCATGGTGGTGCACGCCTGTGGTCCCAGCTACTCAGGAGACTGAGGTGGGAGGATGGATTGAGCCCAGGAGGTTGAGGCTGCAGTGAGCTATGATTGCACCGTTGCACTTCAGCCTGGGCAGCAGACTCAAAAATAAATAAATAAATAGATAGATACATACATACATAAAATTTTTTTAGTGGAATTATTGGTGAAATGCATTCATAATTTGACAAGAGAAGGTTGAATTGAGCACAGCAGGCTGGCAGCTGTCGTCATTTTTCAGTTCATGCACCTGGTGCTGAGCTTACCAGAGCATCCAATAGGCCCCATCCTTGTGCAGCTCACCCTGGTAGGGAGGGATGGTTCCCTGTGGTGGGACCGTCACTCCCATAAGCAGGTTTGTGAGATCACAGTGGGTGCACAGAGGAAGGAGCCTTGACCTGTGTCGCATGTCAGTAGCACAGTGGCTCTGAGGCACCTTCAGTACATCCAGCCAAGCTCTCCATAGCTCCAAGCCTGCAAAGATGGTGCTATGGAATCCAGGTGAGCCCTTGGCCTTCAGGAGACCATTGCTGATCTGGTCCTGTTGCTTTCTAGGCTACCAGATCTCTTGGGAGGTGTACGGCAGGAACGACTCTCGTCTCACGCACACCCTGAACAGCACGACGCATGAGTACAAGATCCAAGGCCTCTCATCTCTCACCACCTACACCATCGATGTGGCTGCTGTGACTGCCGTGGGTGCTGGCCTGGTGACTTCTTCCACCATTTCCTCTGGAGTGCCCCCAGGTCAGTAAAATCATGTGCGGTCCTCCTGCTGTTGCCTCTCTCTTGGAGATTCCTGAGGCTAGAAGTTGATTGACACTTTTATGTGGAAGCCACTAAGTGCCTTGAAAAGGAGGAGTGGCCTCCTGCCAAGATGCTGGAGGGTAAATGGGTGTTGACCCCACTTCAGCCTCATTCTCCAGAGCATTCCACCGCGGCCTCACATCCCTTCTGTCTTCTCCTCCTGCTTTGGCCTCAGAACACACGTTGAAAGTGTTTAAAGCCAGTTCCCAGTGCACATCTAAAATATCGTGAATACTTTCAAAACAGTAGCGATGATTCTATTAGTCCATTTTCATGCTGCTGATAAAGACGTACCTGAGACTCGACCATTTACAAAAGAAAGAGATTTAATGGACTGACAGTTCCACATGGTTGGGGAGGCCTCACAATCATGGCAGAAGGCAAGGGGGAGCAAGTCATGTATTACATGGATGGCAGCAGGCAAAGAGAGAGCCCGTACAGGGAAACTCCTGTTTTTAAAACCCACAGATCTTGTGAGACTTATTCAGTATCGCGAGAACAGCACAGGCCCCCATGATTTGATTACCTCCCACCGGGTTCCTCTCGTGACACGTGGGAATTGTGGGAGTTACATTTCAAGATGATATTTGAGCGGGGACACAGTCAAACCATATCAGCGATGATGGCGTGTGGTTTAATTGGTTAAAAATGGGTATATACAGCGACCAAGATTAACACTGGAAGCACATCTGTGTGCAAGTTGCCAGGGTTTTCCTGAGATGTCTTGGACATTGTTCATCCAGGGCAGAGAAATGGGTTAGCTGACCTCCGGAAGGCTGTGCTTCCAGAAACACTGTGATCCACACTACGTCTGGAGCCACAGAGTGGAGTGTTAGAGGGGAAACTGAGGCCTGGCTGCTTTGGCCAAACCCCTGATAACCAAGGTGCAGGGAGGCGCTGGAGTTGCCATTCCTTCATTGCCAAGGCTGAATGCTTGTAGCTGGAGAGGGGTCCTAAAGCCTTGCCCACTCATCCTGGGTAGTGGCTGGAGGCAAATCAGATGGAGAGGACTGCTTTGGGGACGCCGTGTTCTGTTTACTGTGCTTGAAGTTTATCACCATTAATGATTGAAGAACCATTTAAAAATCCGGAGCGCTGAGAAATAGAAAGGAAAGAGCCCACTTGTCCTTCGATTTAAACATTTTCTATTTCAAATTCATTAAAAACTAGATGTGGGAAGGACCCTTGAGATCCTACAGACCCTGCCCCCGCCAATACTGAATCGATCACCAAAATAGTTTCATTGTCCCTGTGCAAGACCTGGTTTCAAACACCCCAAGCAACAGCAAATGAGGAAAGCATTCCTCAGAGACAGTGCGGTCTGAAAACTGCACTAGTCTTGCATTTTTCTTTTCTTTATTTTCCCCCTGCTTTTTAGCCCCTTATCTTTCTCTAGAGTATTTTGCATGGCACAGTAATCTAAAAGCTCTCACTTTGAACTCATAGTGCTACAGTTCCGAGTGGGAGGTGCTCTTTGGGGAGCAGCAACTGAAGGGTCTCTCATGTAGGAGTAGGCTTGAGCCACGGGCACCCTCAACGGGAGGCTCATTCAGAACCCACCTTCCACCTTATCCAGTTACCCAAGCAACTGAACACAGGCAGAGCGAGGAGAGTTCTGCCCTTGCACGAGAATGTGGTCGTCTTGGAAACCAGACCCAAGAAGCCTAAGGCTCAAGACCTGATCCTGAGCAGGTGCCACGCTACCTGGGAGCAACCCTGGGCTTGTGCACTCTTCCCTCCACCCCTCTGAGGCTGCGGTAATTATGAAAGGAAGTACAGCCATTTGTTCTTTGTGTGGTTTCAGGAGCCAGGAAGGATTACATTCATTCATCCTTTCCTCATTCAGCCAGCATCTGTTAATTACCTACAAAATACGGAGATGTGTAAGGCATGACACATCCCTTCAGAGTTTCTCATCAAGGAGGCCGTGTTCGCCGTGTGTCTCCTGAAGTCCACCGGGTCAGCCTATTAAAGCAAAAACCATGTACTCATCATGCCTCTGGGGAAGCTGTGCTGCTTCTCACCTTCATGCTTTTGAGAACAAATCCTTTTTTGGTGTTGAATGGTGTCGAAACTGTTTACTTTTGAAGCTGACACATTTGATACCTTTCCTAAGCTGTGACGGACTTTAAATCTCTCCCTTTCCTCCCTGGTTCCTCTCTAGACCTTCCTGGTGCCCCATCCAACCTGGTCATTTCCAACATCAGCCCTCGCTCCGCCACCCTTCAGTTCCGGCCAGGCTATGACGGGAAAACGTCCATCTCCAGGTGGATTGTCGAGGGGCAGGTACGTGTGTCGTTAGACCGGGAGCCAGCATTTCCAAAGAGCAATGTTGGGGCCTGTGAGTGAGTGGCGCCCCTGCAGATGATGGCATGGGGGTGCGGGGGAGATGGACATGCTTGGAGTGGGAGAAGCAGGGGCTGGAGATAGCCCAGATAGCAGCGCAGAATGTTGGAAGACAAAGAACAAGATGTCAGGCTGGGGTCCTACCAGGTGATGAGACAAGAATAACAAGGGTTAAAATGAAAGTTGTGATTCAAAATAGGTACCCAAAATTGGATAGAGTTGATGATTGAGTTTTTAAAAATTCTGTATCACAATTAGCTACTAAATATACTAATAGGATTAATTGCTTGGTACAGCTTGTGTGTCATTAGCTATGCATTCATTCAACAATATTTTTAGAGACGATTGTTCTATCTGCAGGCACTATTCTGGGCATGGGGGCTATTGCAGTAGACAAAGCTGGCTGAGTTTCTGCTGTCGAGGAGAAAAGTGCCGTCTGGGGAAGAAAGACCTCCAGCTGTGGGAAAGCTGTTATATTTGAGGGACAGCAAGGAGGGCGGGTGCTGGAGGGAGGGGAGCAAGCCCTGGGGTGGCAGGGAGTGAGTCTGGGGAGAGTGAGGGGTGGGTTCCACAGGACCTGGGAGAGTGGACTCCCCCGAGAGACTTCTGGTCTGACTCCAGCTGTGCAAGTGCTGCAGCACGCAGAGGTCCAGGACAGCGCCAGGCTTGAATAGGATCACGCTGGCACTGGTGAAACCATGCAATCTGCCAGTTCCATGTTCCAACAAAAGCAGGAGGAAAAAGATAAAGGGCCCAATTATGAGGAGTAGTAAAGTTTCAAAATAGTTATTATCTGTAGTAAAATCCTTGTGGTTTTCATGACTGTACTTGTACTATATTGCAAGACGATCCACTCCTGGAAATTGGCCATAAATTAGGGAACAAATCCTATCTACCTCTTCAAAAGTTTCATTAAGCAAACATTTCTGAAAATCTAAGGAGGATCCTGAAGGCGCAAACCATCTGGATGGGACTGACCCACAAATGGGGCTGGAACAATTATTTTCTTAGCAAAAATAGCAGTAGAGCCCTACCTCACATCAAATTAAGAAAATCAGTCCTCAGCCAAGGAAGATTCAATTGGTGAAAGCAACTTTAAAACGCTTAAGATTAACTATAGGACAAGAATCACCATGTCTCATGAAAACCAAGTCTAGTAATTAAAATCCATCAGCAGAAGGCAATACTTTTAGGCCCACAGGAGCACGTGCTGTGGTCTTCGGTGTCTGACAATGCCACGTAGCTGAGGCCAGGAAGCAGCGCTCATTGCGGGCTTTAGAATGTGGTGTTATGCTAGGGCTGGGCGGGCCACAGCGACAGAAATGCCAGTGTCTTCAGGGCTCAACATACAAGAGCTCATTTGTGCGTCCAGGCAGGCCTGGGAGTGGACGACGCTCCTTTTGCCCATGTTCCGTTGCCCAGGACTTGGTCACGTGGCCCGGTGTTGCCGCAGGAGAGTCTGGGAGTGTGGTGTTTCAGCTCACCTGGGAGGGAAAGACATGGAGTGATGTGGGGACCTTCGGCACAGTTTCTCGGCCACAGCATCCTGGCTTTATGTCATACAGCCTGTTTGTTTGTTTATTTATTTTTGAGATAGAGTCTTGCTCTGTCGCCAGGTTGGAGTGCAGTGGCGCCATCTCGGCTCACTGCAACCTCCGCCTCCCAGGTTCAGGCAGTTACCCTGCCTCAGCCTCCCGAGTAGCTGGGACTACAAGCGCCGCCACCATGCCCGGCTAAGTTTTTGTATTTTAGTAGAGACGGGGTTTTACCGTGTTAGCCAGGATGGTCTCAATCTCCTGACCTCGTGATCTGCCTGCCTTGGCCTCCCAAAGTGCCGGGATTGCAGGCATGAGTCACCGCACCTGACGTCTAAAGAGGTTTTACATTTTTAATGTAAAACATCTTAGATATATGCAAAAGGAAGGAGAACAGTAGAGTGAGCCCCCTGGTACCCATCAGCGAAAGTCAATGATCCTCAAGATTTCGCCACATCCATCCACCCCTGCTTTTTTATTGGCGTATTTTGAAGCATATTTCAGACCACATGTCACTTTGCCCCCATACGTGTCACACGTGTGTCTAAAATACCTGTTCACATGCCAATATGGATGAATTTCACAGGCATAATGTTTAGCAAAAGAAAAACCAGACCCCTACTTGGAGCATATACTGTGTGATTCCATTTATAGAATGTTCCAGAACAGGAAGAAGTACTCTTCGGTGCTGGAATTTGGGTTTTCCTGGGACCCCTGTGATTACTTACCATGTGGGTGACGGTGATTGGGAGGGGTCCACCTGAGGAGAGGGTGTCTGGAATGGCAGGAGTGCTGTCTTTTGATCTGTATCAGGGCTAAATGTGTGTGCTTATTTTGTGTATACACCAGTGGTCTGTGAGCTTGCCTGTGTGTCTTACTTCAGTGAAAAGTTTGGCCAGGCCCACACCTGTCATGCAGCACTTTAGGAGACGAAGGCAGTGGATCACTTGAGGTTGAGAGTTCGAGGCCAGCCTGGCCAACATGTGAAACCCCATCTCTACTAAAGATGCAAAAATTAGCCGGGCGTGGTGGCACACGTCTGTAATCCCACCTATTCAGGAGGCTGAGGCAGGAGAATCGCTTGAACCCAGGAGGTAGAGGTAGCAGTGAGCCAAGATCACGCCACTGTACTCCAGCCTGGATGACAAAGCAAGACTCTCTGTCTCAAAAAAAAAAAAAAAAATTTACGTGAAAATATGGGTATCTTCTGTCATACCACTTTCACACCTGATAAAATTATTGTTATTGTTTTTTTGAGATAGGATCTCACTCTGTCACCCAGGCAGGAGTGAAGTGGTGCGATCTCAGCTCACTACAACCTCTGCCTCCCGGGCTCAGGCAATCCTCCCATCTCAGCCTCCTGAGTAGCTAGGACCACAGGCATGCGCCACCACTAACTTTTTATGGTTTTGGTAGAGACAGGGTTTTGCCATGTTGCCCCGACCGGTCTTGAACTCCTGAATTCAGGTGATCTGTCAGCCTCAGCCTCCCAGAGTGCTGGGATTATAGGCATGAGCCACTACGCCTGGCAATTTGAACATTTTAATATCATCTAATCATCAGTTCACACTCAGATTTCCCCAAATTTTCCAAAACACCTCTTTACAGTGGTTTTGATAAAAGTAGGATTCACATAAGGTTCACACTATTCATTTTGTTGTCATGTCTCTCAAATCATAGAAAAAAAAAACACCGTAAACAGCTTTATTGACATATTGTAATTGACATACAGTAAACTGCATATATTTAAGGTGGCCAGTTTGACACTTGTGACTTATACATATACACACACCTGGGAAGCTGTGACCACAGTCGAGATAATGAACACGTTCCTCACCCTCAAAGGTGTCCTTGCAGCCCCCAGTATCCCTCCCTACCAACCCTCCCCATCCCCACAACCACTCGTCTGCTTCCTGTCGCTATAGGTTACAGCTCCCTTAATCTAGCGGAATCCCCCACCCTTTCCCTGCATGCAGTTACCTCGTTGAGAAAACCCAGCCAGTCATCCCATGGGACATCTGCATTGGAGATGCACCTGGTTACATCCTTATGGGGTCACTTGACCTGTTCCTCTACCCCCATTTGCCCTGTAAACTGGAATTTCATTGCAAAGGACTGGTAGATTCCATTTCCACTCCTCCCTCCCTCCCTCCCTCCCTCCTTCTCCCTTCCCCCTCCTTTCCTCCCTCCCTCCCTTCTTTCCTTCCTTCCTCCATCCCTCCCTTCTTTCCTCCCTCCCCCTGCTTCTCTCCTTCCTTACTCCACATTCCCTCCCTTTTTTACATCCTCCCTCCCTCTACTTCCTCCCTCCCTCCCTTCTTTACTTCCTCTCTCCCTCCCTCCCTTCTTTCCTCCCTCCCTTCCTCTCTCCCTCCCTTCCTTCCTTTCTTCTTCCCTCTCTTCCTCTCTCCCTCCCTCCCTCAGACTGCTTCCCAGTTACTGCAGCAGGTTGGAGGCATGTAGATCTAGTTGCCCCACTTAGGGATGCTAATTTGGGTGGCAGAGCATAGCAGCCTGATCCCTACCTTGTGAATTTCTCCATCAGCTTTTTATCTAATGGTCTCATCCATCCATGATCTTTGCCTGAATTAATTATGTTCTTAGGATATTCAAGATGATAATCTTCTACTTCTATCAATCTTCCCTCATTTAGCTGTTGGAACTCTGAAAAGAAGCATCTCCCCTCATCCCTCAGACTGTTTAGTTACCTTCAAACATAGGAAGGCAGAATAAATGCTTAATTCTTTTCCCTTAATTACCAATTTTCAGGGTGAGGAATTGGTCCCCTGGTTACTTCCAATGTTAAATAGATTTTTCTTTCTTTTTCTGTCTTGTGATCTCTTTTGCTGAGTGTCATCATGAAAGCACAGATTCTTACCTGTTCAGTGGGTTTCAGTCACCTGCAGTCATTATTCTTTTTGAACCTAGAATTGGCCCGTCTTTGGCCTTGGGAGGCTTTTGTATCCTGGGGCTCCAGCCTGAGGCTGCACTCTTTGATGACTTCCTGCCTCACGCTGAGATGGAGCCGCGCCTGCCGGGCCTTGGTTTCTTAAGTGTCAAATGCTATTTAAAGACCATAACGAGAGCACCAAGGTGGATGCTTATCGCTCCCAGGTGGTCACTGCTTCGACACCTTCCCAGTAGACAGAGAACATCTTTTCTGAAGCATCATGAATTCATACTGACATTTCCAGTGAAACTTCAGGTTACTGACCTTAAATGTATATGTTATGTTATGTTAACTTAAATATATATTTTATTTTATTCTATTTTATTTTATTTTATTTATTTGAGATGGAGTCTTGTTCTGTTGCCCAGGCTGGAGTGCAGTGGTACTATCCCAGCTTACTGTAACCTCCACCTCCCAGGTTCAAGCTATTCTCCTGCCTCAGCCTCCTGAGTAGC